GTTGGGGGGGGGGGAGATTGACGGCTCCCCCCACTAGGCTGGAAGGTGAGAATTCAGAAAGGGGAGGGGGGAAATGAGCAAGGCACACAGCTCCCAGCACAGGACAGAGAGCTGCTCCTCTGGCTGCACGGGGAGAGGAGGGGGACTAGTCATTTCAAGGACATGGCGACAAGTGGAGCTGTGTGTGTGGGAAGAGTAACTAAAAGGAGGGGGAAGCTCAAGCGTCTAACAAAGGAGGGGGGGGCATTGGCACCCAAGAGGGTGGCTGGGACAAGCCGCGGAGCGGGAAGGCAGGCAGTGAAAAGAGGCCTGTTCGAGGGCAGGAAGAGGGAGGAGACACTGCTGGGGGGAAGGGCAGCAGCGTACCCACAGGCGCCCGAGCAGCAGGCCCACTGTACCTGCTGCAAGGCCCAGAAGGGCCAGGAGACAAGCAGTGGGGCCGAGAGTAGAAAGGCCCCTAGAGCAACTGGGGCTTGGAGAGGGGGCAGCAGGAGAAGCGGGAGGGCTGATGAACCAGGGGGAGGTAAACCCCCCCCTGCCCACAGCACCAGCCTCCACCCAGGAGCACTGATGGAAAGGCCCCTAATCTCCCCTCCCCAACACCAGGCAGGCTGTGGGGAGAAAAACCCCAGGGGCTGCTTTAAAACAACCCCCGTACCGTCTCTTCTTTGGGGAGAACAGCAGCAGCAGGAAAGGTGAAGGTCAGGCCTGCCGAGGTGGAGAAAAGGGGGTCAAAAATAGACCCTCAAGAAAGTAGGAGGGGGCTCCCCCACCCCACCCAAAGGCAGGGCAGCAGAGACCCCCCTGCACCCAGGACCCTCAGCAAATAGCTGAGGTGAAGGGGGGAAAAGCTGCCTGCAAAAAGGGGCCCAGCCCAGAATGTAGGGTACAAGAGGAAGAGCAGCAGCCTGAGGACAGGTGGGGAGCTGGGCGTGTGACTCTGTGTTCGCTGAGTAGGCTGTTGAAGACTGTGGCCAGCCACACCTGAAGCCTATCTGGCATCAGCCTGAAGGGAGGACTAGTTGGAACACCTGCAGCCACTTAAGGTGGATGTGTGCACTATAAAACATGCCCCAGGCAAGGCTGGGGAAGGAGAACAGGGAAACTAGAGGAGAGCTCAAGGAGAAGGGAGCAGCCCAGAGCAAGAGAACACACCCGAGTGAGCTGACGTGAAGGTTTGCCCCATGATATTGGGAATGAGGTACTGCAGGAGGGGTTGGGGAAGTGGCCCTGGGAGGGGTTGTTGCTCGGGGGCAAGGGCCAAGCTATGCTGCCTGCTTGGGGCTGCTCCCCTCCTATAGGGCCCTAGGCTGGAACCTGGAGCAAGTGGGTGGGACCAGGTTCCCCCCAACCCTCCCCTCTGGCTAGAAGGGCCAGCAGGGACTGGAGAAAGGACACTGGACTGGCCAATGCTGAAAGAGGCTCTGGTAGCAGGGTACCCTTGCCTTTGTGGCAGTAATTAGGGATACTGTGAGCCTCTGAGGCCCATAAGGACCCGCCAGGAAGTGCAGGACCCACAGGGCTTAGCCCAGACTTTGCCACAATGTATAATTCAAAGATGCTTTATGAAAAATGCATTGTAACATCGTTTTAATGTTACAATCTACTGAGTGTTATCTTCTATTCTGTGCATGAATCACTCTTGTACATGAAGTGTGGACTTGTTTATAATTCTAGAAGTGCTAATGAAGGTGTTTAGTAATACTCTGGAGACATAATAGCCCAATGATCTGTAAAGGGGTTTGTCTGTCTTGTAAGACGTGTGACTAGGACACCTGATGCTGGAACCCATTTTGGATTTTGTATTTCCTCATTCAAGGTGAGAGAGTTTGAACTGAACACAACTCCTGTTTTGGCCAAAAAGATATAAAGGAGGAAAACCAAACAACGTGGGGGTTGGCAGATGCCCGAGATCCCACTTACTGCCCACAATGCCTGCTGGCAACATCTAAGACTGAATGGGGGAATAGTGATAGAAATGTAGCCATGTTGGTCTCCGTTCTTCCCCCATTCAAAATACAGGACTATGTAGCACTTTAAAGACTAACGAGATGGTTTATTAGATGAGCTTTCGTGGGCCAGACCCACTGAGGAAATGGGTCTGGCCCACGAAAGCTCATCATCTAATAAACCATCTTGTTAGTCTTTAAAGTGCTACATAGTCCTGTATTTTGAATGGGGGAAGAACTACAGAGTCTAGTCTGCCCCCTCCCCAAGTGTAATCCTTGTTGCTTCTGCCTCTAAGCTTAAAGCAAAGACTCTCCGCAGGCTTATCTCCCGTTTCAAACTGGAACTCTGAGCAACCCTATGGTCCTCTGACCTACTGCAGTGCAACTCCTCCTCCTCTTCTCCCTGCCTGTCCTTCCTGAACAGTTTATACCCTTCTGCGACAGTGCTCCAGTCCAGTGAGTTGTCCCAACAAGTCTCTGTTGTTCCAGTTCCTCTCTTGGGTTTCCCTGCTGCTAATGTGACTGCCTGCCTGGCCCCAGGACTATGTGAACAAATCCCTGCTAAAATCAGAGTGAATGCCAGGAAGCAGTGTTTTCCAAAGTGTGTGTGATGCAGCCACCAGCAGCTCACCTGTTTCTCCCAAAAGAGACTGTGCCACAAATTCATGCTCCCATACAGGGGTTAAATGATATTTAATCAGCTAATCAAGTAGTGGATAGAATTTCCATCGATTAGTTGATAAGGAGGAAAACTGAAGAGCTGTGGCTCTGCCTTTTAAATGTATTAAGAGCTCCCACGGTAGGTGGGACTGAGCATGAGCCAGGGATCAGCTGTCCTGGCTCATGTCTGGTCCCAGATACTGTGCCTCTGCCTCCACCTCCCATCAGCACTGGCTCTTGCTCCCCCATCTCTGATAGAGGCAGCAAGGGCGGAGGGGGAGTGACTAGTCGAGTGACTAGTTGACTAACCGACATAAGCCTACCTGATAAGCGTAACCAACCAGTCGCTCATCTCTACTCCCATAATAAAAGCTCTCCCACACCCAATGTTTCACTGCCAGGTATTGCTGGCACTGCGGACAGAGATAGTAAGTCTTGAGGGGAGCAAGACTCCCATGATGCTCTGCAATTAAGAATAAGATAGTTTAAAGGATGGATTTTTCCCAAGCAGTAACCTCCAGCACATGTTTAAAAGTGCTGTTGGAGAGGTGTTGGTAATCAACCGCAAGAAAGAAAAGCTGCTGCGGTACGTGTTTGAGCAGCACTTCCCGCAAAGACTTTAGGAAGCCCTCTAAAATTGGGCATGTGCCAAGGGGGAGCAAACCGCTACAAAGTAACAAGTAGGGGCAACAATGGGTGTGCTCCCCGAGGGTGGAAGTAAGGCCAAAAGGCAAGCTGCATGTCAACTAACAGAGCAGGCCTTCCTCAGCTGCTGGCATGAGCTGGGGTGTGGATTTTTTTTTTTGCAGCCCCAGTAGCACAAAGTCTCCCTGTCACCTGCCCTGGGCCAGGCTCTCCTGCTGCAGCAGGCTGGCTTTCTGTGCCAAGGCAGGGCAGAGGCTGACTCCAGTTAATCTTTAAACCGCCTCCATTTACCTTCCTCCTTTGCACAGCCACTCTCCATTTTCTGAGACTCCACCTTCCTCTCCCCAGCACACAGCCCCAGGAAGAAGCAAGAGGCAGCCAGCTCAGCTCTGACCTAAGGTAATGGCCAGGCCTTCCCCTCAGCAGGGAACACTTGGGACAGGGTGGGGTGAGGAGTGTCCGCAGCAGAAGGCGGAGAAGGGAGGACAAAGCTCGTTTTTCACTTCCTGGTTTGACTCCCAGTGCTCATGGCGTCTGTGGGGGAGAGGTCTCCGTGCTGGGAGCAGGGGTAACAGTGACGGGTGGGGAGGCCGGCACCAGCAGGTTCATATTCCAGCACAGTGACCAAGCAGCCTCCACATTTCTGCTTGTGCTGAGGCTCCCAGCTCTAGGTGCAAACTGCACCATGGAGAGTGGCTCCCTGCTCTGCTGGTGCAAATGCAGCCATGGACCAATGGGCATCACAGGAAAGAACAGACGAGCACAGTTTTAGAGGCCTGCATCTGCAAATGTAGCTTGGCACCCAGCTTGCCACTTGAGCTCAGACGGCCAGCAGCATGCGGCCCCGATCCCTTCAGAGCATGGGCGGGCCCACAGCCCCTGGCTTCCTCCCTCCTGGAGCACAGGGATTGTGGGCAGGCAGGTGGCCCCTGGAGCATGGGAAGGGCTGGTGGTGCTCAGCCTTGGCAGGACTGAGGCTTAGGCAGCCCGGGGAGACTGAATGGGGAAACTGGGGGTGAAGCGTGGATGGGGCCCGCTGAGCAATTCGGGAAGGTATTGATTTCCCTGCCTCTTATACCCACCCTCCACATCCAAGGCAATGTTCCCTCTAACTCTTTCCATCCGTGTATAGAATAAATTGTTGCATGTGCAGATGTGCACCCCACTAGGAACACGCTGGCGGCTGTGGGGTCTCTGCTAATCTGGGCACTAATCTCTCCTAAGTGGCCACCTAAGCACAAAGCTCACCAGGAATCCTGCCCTTCCTCCTCAAATCATAGAATCCCAGGACCCTGGAACTGGAGTGGACCTTGAGGTCAAGTCCAGTCCCCTGCCCTCACAGCAGGGTCCAATACTGTGTAGACCAGTGTTTCTCAAACCGCTCTGCGGAGCCCCCGGGCTCCATGAGATCTCCAGGGGCTCCGCAAGGCTGACAAACTGGAAAGCCTTCAGACGCATAATCGAGAATCGCCGCGAATTGATGCGATTCACACCCTGCTGGGGCTCCACATGCAAGGGGCTCCGAAGCCCAAAATGTTTGAGAACTGCTGGTGTAGACCATCCCTGATAGGTTAGATATCGGCTCCTAAATATCTCCAGTGATAGATTCCACAACCTCCCCAGGCTACTTATTCCAGTGTTTCACCACCTTGACAGTTAGGAATGTCCAACCTAAACCTCCCTCGCTGCAGTTTAAGCCCCTTGCTCCTTGTTCTATCCTCAGAGGCCAAGGAGAACAATTTTTCTCCCTCCTCTAACACCCTTTTAGGTATTCAAAAACTGCTATCATGTCCCCTCCTTGCTAAACTAAACAATCTAATCTTGAAACTTAAAACCAGGTCTATTTGTATTCTCAGAGGGGTGGCCGTGTTAATCTGACTTAAAAAATGAGTAGTCCTGTGGCACCTTAGTCCTGGTCTATACTAGGGAGCTATTTCAAAATGGCCCCCCTTATTTTGAAATAATAAGCAGAGCATCCCCACTACTAAGCCCATTTTGAAAAAAGGGGCTGATTATTTCAAAATAACTCCTGCTTTTCATGAGGAATAACCCTTGTTTCAAAATAGCATTAGTGTGACTGCTCCTATTTGGAGAACTACTCCCAAAGTCATTCAAAGTAATTACTCCCCGGTGTTTCCTAGGGCTCTAAGTCAAGGTAGCGCATCCACATTATGGGAGCCTGCCTTGGATTAATTTGAGGCCTCCCTCTAGTGTGGACATGCTATTTCAAAATAGTTACTTCAGGAGTCATTAATTCAAAATAACTTATTTAGAAATAACTTCCAAATGTAGCCATGCCCTTAGACTAACCAAAATATATAGAAGCATGAGCTCCTGTGGGTAAAACCCACTTCATCTGAATGATGCATTCTTCTGGTGAAGTGGGTTTTACCCATGAACACTCATGATTCTATAGAGGGATGTTAGTGTGTAGCCCAGGGGTGGCCAACCCACTTAACAAAGAGCCAAAACAGCGGTGGAAAAAATGCAAAGAGCCACACCAGAATTCTTGAGCAAAAATTTTAAAAAAGGAAAGCGTGCCCCCCGTCCCCCGCCGCCATTATCAAGCAAAAAAAAAGCTGCCTGTTTAAGAAACAAGCTTAGGCTTTTTGGCCAGATCGGCGCCTGTTGATGGCTGCCATCTTGGGTGCCATTTTGAATTGCTGCCCCGGGGAGCCAGGTGTGGGCAGAGGGGGTATGGGGGGGGCACAGGAGCCGCACTTCTGGGGGAGAAGAGCTGCATGCGGCTCATGAGCCATGGGTTGGCCGCCCCGGCATCGCCGTTTACACGATCATAGCCCAGGCTTATTGGTTTAATCGTAACATTGACACGCTCCGAGGCAGTGGGAGGCAGGAGCCAGGGCCCATGGGGAGCTGACTTGAAAGCTGGCTCCCCAGGAGCGCGCTAAATGTCCGTGGTTAAAGTGGGTGGGGGGTTGTGTGGTTAACTGGGGCCTGGTCAGAACGAGAGCAGTCCCTGCCCAACACGCGCTGGGGGTGCTCCCCGCAGACTGGGCCTCCCCACCATGCTGTGGCTCCAACCTGGCTGGCTCCACGGTGCCACTCTTCACGGGCGGGTCAAGTCCTCTTTAACCAGTTAACCCCATTTCGTCAGGTTTCCATTCCTACTCTTGACCAGTGAGCTCTGCGTGCTGCCCAGCAGTGCGTGGGAGAACCGCTGTGGCCAGCGCTGCCAAGCTTAGAAGGGAGTTGGGCCCACTACACTGTATGGATAGTGACTGAGCAATTTGTTCTACCTCTAGCCCCTTGCTCCGGCAGGCCGCTCCAGCCCTGGCAGGGTATGGCAATGCAGGAAGGGGCAGGGACCCCGCGTTGCTCATTATGGGACTGTGAGTGGGGGGCAGAGCTCCTGGGCTCTCCATGCTGGCTGCTCCCCTCAAAGAATGGCCTAGTAACAAGTGGCTCTCAGCCTTTCCAAAGGGCCAGGTCCTCTTCAGGAACCCCGCATACTCCAGAGTTTCACCTCACAAAATCAGACCTAAAATCACAGGGGTCCCAGCCCACTGCTACTGAAACGCTGCCGCTCTCCTTTCCATGCAATCGACAGGCAAAGGTCTTGCGTTTCAGCGCACAGCCCAGCGAGCAGTAGAAATCGGCCCCGTCTGTTGGGGCGGGGCGGCGAACAGAGCCCCAGAGCTCAGGCCCTTGCTTGGGGTGTGGCAGCAGGGAATAAACAGTTCAAATGTCTTGGTACATGCACCCAGCTGTGTCCCCTTGCTCGGGCAGGGGTCCGGCAGGTGCAGGCTGTGGTGCAGTAACAGCCGAGTGGGGAGACTGCCACCCAAGGGGGGGTGGCAGGGGGGATGTGGGCCCACTCACTCCACCGAGTCCCACCCTAGGGCCCTAGTAGTAGCAGAACCGCCTGCTGCTGAGTCAGCAGGGATCTGCTCTGAAACATGCTGCCCTGGTTCTGGCTCAGGCTCAGCCACATGGTCAGTCACCCTGGGCTCCTTCCCTTCTGCCCCTTGGGTGATACCTGAATCCAGTGCAGGTCTTCTGGACTTTGTAGGTCTGGATCCCCTGGCCAGGCAAGCAGTCCCTCTAGGTCACCGTCCAGGAGCCCTGGCCAATCCTCCATCTCTCGTGGGTCCAGCTCTTCCGCTGAGCGCACGGCGGGCCTCCTGGCTCCTTCTGTCGCTGGCCTGGCGCTGGCCTCTGTGGCCAGACTTTTATATCCTTGGCCCGCCTTCTGGCTTCTGCTCAGGTGGGTCATCGGGGACAGGTGCTGCCCACCAGGGCTCTGGAGAGGCACCTCCCCCTCAGGATCAGTGGGTGGCCACTCCGCCTTGCTTCCTGCAGCAGCCCTGCTTAGGGTTGCAGGTGGCTTAACCAAAAATATCGCACACATCCCCATGCGCGTGCCCCCCCAAAAAAAACCACGGGGGGGGGAGGAAGACCCTGAGAGTTGTTAAGCAAAAATAAATTAAAATGTGGCCCTTTAAGAAGCTCTTCTGAGGTTTGTTGGCCTTAACAGGTTGCAGGCAGCAGTCTGCCATCTTGTCTCCCTGCGCCAGGCCAGCACAAATCAGAATGTACCGGACATTTTAGGTGTCCAATATTTTCTGAATTGTTTACTGGACAGGAAGTGAAAATACTGGACTGTCCAGTTCAATACCGACTCCTGGCAACCCAGCGCTGATTGGTCAATTTACACACTGGTTCACCTTCTTGGGAAGAGCCACCAATCAGAGCGCAGCTCCAGCCCCAAGTTCACCTGCCCTCCTGAAGTGCCCCTCCCACGACCTTCTCTGGTAAGGGGCAGTAATGAACACTGCCACCAAGGGGTACATGGAAAAATGAAGCAGCCAGAAATGAGGAAAAAACCCTGAAGTCTTGGTTCCAGCTCCAATGGAGAAGTAAACAAGAAAAGTAAAAACCCTGACACTCCCCCTCAGCCCCAGAGGGGGCCAACAGACTTGCTGGACCCCTGGGCAAAGTGGGGCAGGGGGGAGCCTCAGGTGGAAAGGGCAGGTCAGCCAGCCCTGCACCACCCAGACTGCATCGTGCTCAGAGCCCCTGGAGCACAGTGCCTGGCACTCTGGCAGCAATTTCAAGGGCCTGGGGCTCTGGCTGCCACCACGGCTGCTAGCACCACAAGAGCAGTCAGAAGCCCCAGGCCCCCCGCCCTCCAGCGCTGACCTCTCCCATCAGTGCTGCCGCCTAAGCATCCCCTCAGCAATGCTGAGCCCCTAGGGGCCCTGTTCACAGCCGCAGTAACACGCACCAGGGCAGCTTCTCTGGGTGCCAGCAGCAGATCAAGCCATCGCAGAAAATTGCTCAATGCAAGCAATGGTGTTATGGGAGAGCCACTGAGGTTCAGAGATGGTTGGTGCTGACATGTCCACTGCTTCCAATTTTCCTGCTGTGCTTTAGGTTTCCAAAGCATTGCCCAGAATCCCCACAGTGGTCGAGTGGCAGGGAGCTGCAAGTGGGCGTTACTGCCATTTTACAGATGGAGAGACTGAGGCCGAGAGATTGAGTTGCTCAAAGCCAGGATTAGAACTTAGGCGTGCCTTCCTTCCACGCTGGTGTTCTGGACCCAGCTCTTCCTCGTGGGCTTGTTTAAGGGTGGTGGTAGTTCATAGTTACTGATGTTGGGCTTTATTGGAATTGTATTTTAAAAAGGCAGCTGTAGCAGAAGCACCTGGAGTTATGGCCATTGTCTCCTGCATTGGGACAGGTTGGGGGAGAAATAGCCTGGTGTCTTCTAGCACTGGTCTGTGTCCACCTCTCCTTTCTGTAGGGGTGGGGCTTGCAGATGTCTTTCCCCTATACCTCCGCCATGACTTGTTTTTCTGTTGTGCAGCTTCCTGAAGCCAAATGGAATGTACCTGGTACTTGTGTGTCTGCAGCCTTCTCTGGGCCTGGCCTGCAGCGGCAGGACACCCTTGCAGCATTGACAAGGAGGTGGGTCTGAGGGTCTAAAATCATCCAGCAAAGGGGTTCAGTCACTCAGGAGGTCTTTTCCAGCCAAATAAGTTGAAGCAATGAAAAAATGCCCTAGAAAGAAGGACCAAACTGCAGAGTGCATGCAGACCCTGCTGTGATAAGACAGTGTTTCTCAACCTTTTTTATAAAGTACCCCTCTTTTTTAAAAAGTACCCCCAGTACCTACAGTTTTCAAACACACAATTTTTTCTACCATTGCAACACATTTGTTTAAACAACGTAATCATAGCTGGGTGGATGATGAAATTTTTGGGTGTAAAAAATACAAAAATAAAGCAGTGCTGTAAAACTTAAAAAAAATTCAGTTTTCTTCAAGTTTCAGTTGTTGATTACCCCCCCACCCCAGACTTTTCTTGAGCACCCCTTAGGGTACTCGTACCTCTGGTTGAGAAACACTGCTCTAAGAGACCGCTCCATACACAGAGGGGTCAAATGTTGGCAGGGAGGGCTACCAAGGGATGGGTCAATTTGCCATCCTCTGGAATCTTTACAGTGAGACTAGAATGTGTTTTAGAAAGAAATGGCCATTCGTAGATTCCGAGGCCAGAAGGAACCACTGTGATCATGGAGTCTGAACTCCTGTACAGCAAAGGCCAGAGACCTGCTCTACAATAATTCATAGAATCCTAGGGCTGGCAGAGAGCTCAGGAGTCAGAGTCCAGTCCCCTGTCCAAAGCAGGACCAGCCCCAACTCAATCATCCCAGCCAGGGCTTTGTCAAGCTGAGACTTAAACCTCTTGGGATGGAGATTCCACCCCCTCCCCAGGGAACCCATCCCAGTGCTTCCCCCCCTCCTAGGGAAATAGTTTTTCCTAATCTCCAACCTAGACCTTGCACCCTCACTGCAACGTGAGCCCATTGCTCCTTGTTCTGCATCTGCCACCACTGAGAACAGCCTCTCTCCATGCTCTCTGGAACCTCCCTTCAGGAAGTTGAAGGATCCCCCTCCCCCTCCCCACTCTTCTGCAGACTAAATAAGCCCAAATCCCTCAGCCTCTCCTCATAGGACATGTGCACCAACCCTTTAGGGCACAGCTGTTAGAAAAGCACCCACTTTGATGTAAAAATCACAGCGATGGAGAATCCTCCTGACCCCTCAATAAGCTGTTCCAATCAAAATATGGAGATTGCCTTATTTCTACTCTGAACTTGTCTAGCTTCAACTTTGTGCCAGTGGTTCCTGTTGTGGTTTACTCTGCTAGATGAACAAGCCCATCTAGAGCCCGTCACTTCTAGAGGGTAATCCAGCTGCCCTTTTAGCGTAACAGAGAGAAGGTTAATTGATGGAGCCCCTGACGTCTGTCACAATAGAGCATGTTTTCTAACACTTTCATCGTTTTCGTGCCTCTTCTCTGAACTGCTTTAACATCCTTCTTGAATTGTGGCCACAAACGATTCCAGCAGTGGCTGCCAGTGCCAAATACAGAAGTAAAATAAGTTCCTTTCCTACTCAAGATTTATGCTTCCATGGATCACTTTAGCCCATTTGGCCACAATGTACCTTGGGGCCTCATGCTGGGCTAATTATCCATGGGATTGGTTCTGCCTTGGGCGGGGGGCTGGACTTGATGACCTTTTGAGGTCTCTTCCAGCTCTGGGATTCTGATACCTGCTTTTTTTTTCTACATCAGTTTCCCAGGACAGAAGCTCCCATCTTCAGAGCCCCCAAAATCTGCAGATATCCATGGAAGGCATTTGGGGATTGGATGCAGTGACAGATTTTGTCTCTGCACCAGGCTCTACCCATTCTGTAATGACCAGGGATGTTTTGATTAATTGAATAGTTGAATATTTGATTAGCTGATAAGGGCTAGTGCAGCATTTCAAAGATTGAAATGCCTCGTGGAGCCCAGGGCCAACGGGGAGACCCAGGCTCCACATGGAGTTTCAATCCTTGAAACGCACAAGAGCCCCTGCTGGGGTTCTTGTACATTTCAAAGCAGAAACGCCCACGTGGAGTCCAGGCCAGCGGGGGCTCCACGCAGCATTTCAGTCTCTGACCCCAGCACAGACTCTTGTACTTTTCAAAGTTGGAATGGAGCTGTTGCGCCCCTCCCACGGAGCTGGAGCTAGAGCTGGGGGAAACTGGCTTTTAAGCTGTCCCCCTCCAGCACTCCCTCTGCCTCCCCCTCCTTTGCTGCCTCTTTGTGACAGAGGCATCAAAGGGGGGAAGCGACTAGTCAACTAGTGTGTCAATTATCGGATAAACTTTTGCTTATTGGATAGTCGATTAGTCGCTTACATCCCTAGTAACTATGGCCTACGTGCTGTGTTCCTAGGTGGAAACATTTACATTTAACCATATTAAAATATATATAGTTTGCTTGCTTGGTAAACTGGGTGCAATCTAGATTAAGAACAGCCATATGGCTCAGACCAACGGTCCATCTAGCCCAGTATTCTGTCTTGTTGACAGTGGCCAACACCAGGTGCCCCAGAAGGAAGGAACACAAAGGTAATCCTCACGTGATTCCTCCCCTGTCACCCACCTCCAGACAAACAGAGGCTAGAGACACCATTCCTACCCAGCCTGGCTAATCGCCATTGATGGACCTAACCTCCATGAATCTATCTAGCTCTTTTTTGAATCACGTGAAACGAGGAGTAACGGTAGTTTGGAATAGGAAGCCTGGTCCGAACTACCTAGTCCATGCCGCATGTAGCCGTGCTGCACGGAGTCCGCACTAGCGGACATTTAAAAATGGCGGTGCCCGGCTATAGGCAAATGAAGCCTGGGAAATTCAAATCCCGGGCTTCATTTGCAACTCCAGTTTCCTACATTACCACCCTAGTTCGAACTAGGGTGGTAGTGTAGATATACCCTTAGACGGGCACTCCTACATGTCAGCCACTCTGGCTTGCTTACTCACTTTGCACAGGCAGAGGTCTGCTGGTAGGCTCTCACCTGGGAACTGGAAGTGCAAAAGCCCATGTACCAAACAAGGTTTAAGCAATCAAGCAGTGCAGTCCACTTCTCAGGAAGTTGGAGAACCTTGAATGAAATAAAGACACACTGGGCTGAGGCTCAGTCTAGAATCCAGGGGGAAGAAGGAGGGGACACACATTTCAGTGCTAGCTAGTCAAGGTTTGGGATTGGAGAAGTGAACCAGAATGATAAATATCACAGGAGGGAATGTCCAGCTGTTTTGCCCATCCTACCCCATGTACAGTATCTGAGTTCTTCCTCCGCCAACCCTTTCTTCTCATGTTCCTCTCACTCTGTATAATGTTATAGTAATAGACATGTAGCCGTGATAGGCCTGTTTTTTGTTTCAGCTACACCAGACTATGTAGCATTTTAAAGACTAACAAGATGGTTTCTTAGGTGATGAGCTTTCGTGGGCCAGACCCACTTCCCCAGATCAAATTGCAGAAGAAAATAGGCATGACCATATATACCAAAGCCCATGAAAGCTCATCACCTAAGAAACCATCTTGTTAGTCTTTAAAATGCTACATAGTCCTATTTTTTGTATAATGTGTTGTGATTGTAGACCCCTGTGATCCAGTCTGTGCTGGTCCTTATCCAGCCTATCTCAGTGACTGGATACTGGATTAAAAGGACCATTGGTGTGAACTGCTCTGGTAGCTCCCATGTTCCTGAAATTGTCTGTTTTCTCTCAAGCTTTGCAACAAATTTAATTTATTAGTGTAATCGTTTGAAATTCTTGAGTCTCACTGGAGCATCCTAGCAGGGACCCAGAACCCTCTCATGATAGTATCGATATTTTCTCAGGGATGGGCTGACTGCAGTGGAAAGAACCTTCTACACATTCCAGATTCCCTTCCTGGAAACATCACCTGCTTGGACCTTTCCTTCAACTCCTTGGCAATGCCCAGAAGTGGGACTTTCTTGGTACATTTCCCATCCCTGCATGCCCTAAACCTCTCCAACAACGTCATTCCCACACTCTACCCAGCTGTCTTCTCTAACCTCCGGGTTCTCCATCTGCTGGACCTGAGCAGCTGTAACATCTCCCACCTTCACCCAAAGGCTTTCCAGGGCATGAGAAACCTGCACACACTCCTCTTGAAAAACAATAAGCTTCGGATTTTGCGGCTGTCTGTGCTCCTTTCTTTTGGGGCCCTGGTCCATCTGGACTTGCGGAACAATGATCTGATCACTGTGGATGCTCTAGTCCTGCAGCTGATGGATAGAACCCATCAGGTCCTGCTTCAAGGGAACCCCCATGTCTGTAATTGCTCCATGTACCTTTTCCAGCAATGGCTACGACTAAGACGAGGTGAGGAAAGGATTGAAGGCAGGGCTACCATGAGCAAAGAGGAAGGACTGAAGGATAATGCCCTAAAAGAGGTCAGGGAAGGATTACAGGAGTAATAGATGTAGAAACCCAATTCGGTCCCTTCTATTCTGTCTCTTTTGATTAATGCAGGCTTATTTTCCAGAGTGTAGTGTCTAGGGCTTCTCGAATCTTTCGAAGGGGTATCAACTTCAAACTCACTCCATGTGTTTTATGTAGTGTGGTCACAAGCGATGCCCAAGATTCCACACGAGGCTCCGTGGCTGCTGAGTAAACAAACCGTAGGGGTCTGGTAGCAGCTTTCTCAGAGTGGGCCCACAGCCCTAGGTGCTATGCCTGTCATGGAGGGTGATGTAGCAGGTGGCTTACATTGTAGTGTAGGTGCTTACAGAGAGGTCAATTTAAGCTGCCTAATGTCCCTTTGCTCTGTAGTGGAGACCAAGCCTAGGGATTTCTTCTCTAGTTCCTTCACTAGCGGCTGAGAAGAAGCTAAGTGGGTGAGTGTTGGCAGGTACACTCTCTTGTGCTCTTTAGACAATGAGGAGCAAGGGTGAAGGTTTCCATCCTAAATGGGGGTGGCAGGATCGGTGGAGGCACCACATCCTTCCTAACTGAATCAGGTTTTGTCTTCTAGCTGTGCACATGCTGTGCGCCTCCCCACCAGGACTCCAGGGCCAGGAGGTCAAGACCCTGAATGTTCAGGATCTGAGTTGCAAGAGAAAACTGCGCTTTCCTCGGGCTCAGCCTTCAGTCACAAGTGATCCAGAGCCCACAGTGCAGAGAAATGACAGTAAGTTGTGTGGCTCAAGGGACTCTGGGCCCATGCCAAAGCTCTCACTCCCGATTTAGAGACAGGGTCAGAGAGCAGTTATTAATGGTTCTCAATCCTGCTGGAAGGGCAGAACCAGTGGGGTTCCCCAGGGTCTGTTCTGGGACCGGCTCTGTTCAGTGTCTTCATGAATCATAGAATAATAGGACTGGAAGGGACCTCAAGAGGTCATCGAGTCCAGCCCCCCGCCCTCAAGGCAGGACCAAGCTCCACCTACACCATCCCTGACAGATGTCTATCTAACCTGTTCTTAAATATCTCCAGAGAGGGAGATTCCACCACCTCCCTTGGCAATTTATTCCAATATTTGACCACCCTGACAGTTAGGAATGTTTTCCTAATGTCCAATCTAAACCTCCCCTGCTGCACTTTAAGCCCATTACTCCATGTCCTGTCCTCAGAAACCAAGAGGAACAAATTTTCTCCTTCCTCCTTGTGACACCCTTTTAGATATTTGAAAACCACTATCATGTCCCCCCTTAATCTTCTTTTTTCCAAACTAAACAAGCCCAGTTCATGAAGCCTGGCTTCATAGGTCATGCTCTCTAGACCTTTAATCATTCTTGTCGCTCTTCTCTGTACCCTTTCCAATTTCTCCACATCTTTCTTGAAATGTGGCGCCCAGAACTGGACACAGTACTCCAGCTGAGGCCTAACTAGCGCAGAGTAGAGCGGCAGAATGACTTCACAAGTTTTGCTTACAACACACCTGTTGATACAACCTAGAATCATATTTGCTTTTTTTGCAACAGCATCACACTGTTGACTCATATTCAACTTGTGGTCCACTATGACCCCTAGATCCCTTTCCGCCATGCTCCTTCCTAGACAGTCGCTTCCCATCTTGTATGTATGGAACTGATTGTTCCTTCCTAAGTGGAGCACTCTGCATTTCTCCTTATTAAACCTCATCCTGTTTACCTCTGACCATTTCTCTAACTTGCTAAGGTCATTTTGAATTATGTCCCTATCCTCCAAAGAAGTTGCAACCCCACCCAGTTTGGTATCATCCGCAAACTTAATAAGCGTACTCTCTATCCCAATATCTATGGAGGATAGGGACATAATTCAAAATGATCTGGACAAACTGGAAAAATGGTCTGAGGGAAACAGGATGAAATTTAATAAGGACAAATGCAAAGTGCTCCACTTAGGAAGGAACAATCTGTTTCACACATTCAGGGTGGGAAGTGATTGTCTAGGGGTCATAGTGAACCACAAGCTAAATATGAGTCAACAGTGTGACACTGACTCATATGATTCTGGGCTGCATTAACAGGAATGTTGTGAGCAAGACACGAGAAGTCATTCTTCCGCTCTACTCTGTGCTGATTAGGCCTCAACTGGAGTATTGTGTCCAGTTCTGGGCACCGCATTTCAAGAAAGATGTGGAAAAATTGAAGGTGGTCCAGAGAAGAGCAACAAAAATGATAAAAGGCCTAGAAGACATGAGCTAGGAGGGAAGACTGAAAGAATTGGGCTTGTTTAGTTTGGAAAAGAGAAGACTGAGAGGACATGCTAGCTGTTTTCAAATATCTGAAAAGGGTGTTATAAGGAGGAGGGAGAAAAATTGTTCGCCTTGGCCTCTGAGGACAGGACAAGCAATGGGATTAAACTGCAGCAACGGAGGTTTAGGTTGGACATTAGGAAAAGAACTGTCAGGGTGGTTAAACACTGGAATAAACTGTCTAGGGAGGTTGTGCAACTTCCATCTCTGGGGATATTTAAGAGCAGGTTGGACAGACACCTGTCAGGGATGAGCTAGACCAGGGGTCTTCAACCTTTTTAAGCACAAGATCACTTTTTGAATTTGTCAGTCCAGGATCTACCTCAAACCTAAATACCCCCGCCCTATCCCTTCTCCAAGTCCCAGCCCCTGCGCCACCCCTTCGCAAGACCTCGCCCTCCTCGCTCTGTGAAGATGGGGTACAGGAGGGGGGACAGTGACATCAGCACCCCCTGTCTCTGTCTCCCCTACCCTGAACAACAAGCAGGAGGCTCCCAGGGGCAGCTCTGAGCAGGAGAAGGGCAGCTGAAGGGCTGGTACTTGATAGGCTCCCAGACCAGTCAGGATCCCCTGTCAGAGGCTCCAGGATCTACTGGTAGGTGACCATGGATCTAGACAGTGCTTGGTCCTGCCATAAGGGCAGGGGACTGGACTCGACGAGCTCTCGAGGTCCCTTCCAGTTCTAGTGTTCTACAATTTTATCAGTTTCCCTGTCACTGGCATATTCCCAAAGTATATTTCCCACTGATCCCATATGGCAGTCTGAATCCCTGTTCTGCCTCCTGACTAGCCCAGAGTAACTCACGAGCAGTTTGGGTTTACTCTGCTCTGCTTGCTTTGGATTGCTCTGCGGTGTCCCTGGGAACTACATGCATTTGACAGCAGCAGTAGCTGGAGAGGCTGCTGCCGAGTTAGAATCATAGAGCTGTCAGAGTCCTCAGGAGTCATCAAGTTCAACCCCCTGCCCAAAGCAGGACCAATCCCAACTCAATCAGCCCAGCCAGGGCTTTGTCAGGCTGAGACTTAAAAACCTCTTGGGATGGAGATTCCACCCCCTGCCTAGGGAACCCAGCCCAGCGCTTCACCACCCACCTAGTGAAATAGTTTTTCCTAATATCCAACCTGGACCTCTCCCACTATAACTTGAGCCCATTGCTCCTTGTTCTGCCACCTGTCACCACTGAGAACAGCCTCTCTCCAGCTTCCTTGGAACCTCCCTTCAGGAAGTTGCAGGCTGCTCTCAAATCTCCCCTCACTCTTCTCTCCTGCAGCCTAAAACCCAAATCCCTCAGTTCTGCTCTGGCTCTTATCAGAGTGAGCATGTGACGTCCTCCTGGCTGGGGACGTGGGCTGTAACAGTTGCAGGGCATGTCTGCATGTAACTACAACCCACAGCTGGCTCAGGCTAATGGCCTGTCAGTTCCGGTCTAGCTGTTTGGGTTGGACTGGAGGCTGGGCTCTAGCACTCTGGGAGGGATGATGGGCCCAGAACTTAGGCTGTAGCCTGAGCCCAAACATCTACATCACAACTAGACAGCACCTGGGCTTGAGCCTAAGTCAGCGGGCAGCAGACCTGCTGATAGGAAGCTGTCCCAGGGCTCAGGCAGTGTGCTCTCAGCAATGCCAAAGGGCTGGCTAGGGAGTTACCAGTCCTACCCCTTCCACCCGAGGCACTATGCCTCACCCCTCCATCCCCCCCCCCGCCACACACACATTGCCCATGGCCCAGCAAAGACTATTGGCTGTCCTGGCTGGCAGTGCAGACAACCCCTTAAAGCAGGGGTTTTCACAGCAAACTTAGTAGCCTCAGCCTGCAGCTTCCAACTCTTGCTGGTGGTCATGCTGACACTAGTCCCGAAAATACTTAAACGTAGGAAACACAAATAACTATGCACAACCTAACACTGCAACTTCCAGTAGTTCAGACGCTGGCAGACTGCGATAATGCTGTGAAAAGGAGCATTCCTGTTGTGCGTTTAAGATTACTTACCACCTCCCAGCCATGCTGTGAAAAGGGATACTTACATGTTTGTTCATATCACTTTGCTCAGCAAGCCCAGGACAAACTAAAGCCTGTGTGTGAGAGAGGGAGAGAGACTGAGCAGGTGGCAGCAGGGGCCCGGGGGTGGGGTGGTGAGCCCTGCTGCTACACAGCCATAGCCAAGGGTCAGCGCCTGCTGCCACAGGGCCAGAAGCCAGAGCACATGGCTAGAGCTGGGGGTCAGTGGCAGAAGCCCCACAACCAAGCTCTTGAAGTCCTGCCACTGAAGCCTGCTTCTCAACCACCCAAGCCCCACTGCCCCTTCCCCCTCCCCCCAAGATGGGGCAAGAACTCACCTTGCTCCTGCAGCGTTGTGTCCTGTCTCTCTCCAGAAATGGTGCAGGGTGAGGCATCCAGGAGCAAGCGGGAGGGAGAGAGGGGGACCCATATTTGCCTCCCACACCACTGCCCAGGAGGCTGTGGTGGCTGCAGGAAAAGCCTTTGGGAAGCGTTGCCTTCCAGGTTGCCTGACAAAGCAGCGGGTAGTTTTACAGAGCAGTTACTGGCCTGGTCAAAGCGGTGAGAGAGACAGCCACTTACTACAGGACAGGCACCAGGACCACTCAGGAGCCCAGGGGACTTGTGAAGTGGCATCTTGCCCCCTGAGCACAGTAACAATCCATTCACCAAGACTTCCCCAGAGTATCCCCTTCCAGGTGCAGAGGCCATTCTCCAGGAAGGTCAGACCCTACCCAGTGTTAGTGTAACCCCCACCAAGGTAGATTTGAACCTGGGACCTCGGGAGCTGACTATAGGGCGCCTCTACCCTCTGAGCTAAAAGCCAGCTGGTCCCTGCCTGTGCAGTGGAGGTCTCTTAATCTTACCTGTTGCAGTGGTCTAGGTGCCACTTGCATTGCTCAGTAACCACACTAGGGCTATGTCTACACTCGCGGCGGCTTGGCGTGTTCTTGTGCAAGTAAATTTACAGTAAAGCATCAGAAGAGAGGGCTTCTTGCACAAGAGTTATTCCTCTCCCTACGAGGAATAAGCCCTCTTGTGCAAGAGCTCTTCCGCAAGAAGGCAGTGTAGACAGGCAACATGAATTTCTTGCACAAGAAAGCATTATGGCTAAAATGGCCACCAGAACTTTCTTGCGCAAGAGAGCGTCCACACTGCCATGGATGCTCTTGCGCAAAAGCACAGCTCGCACATGGCCGTGTGGACATTTTCTTGCGCAAGAAGCCGCGAGTGTAGACATAGCCTAGGTGTGTGGGTTACATTAGCACTAGAGAGGAAGCATTTGCAGTTGCAAACCTGTGGCAGTTTTCAAGGTTTATTTTAATGAACAGCTGTGATTTAACAGCTTGTCTATATTTAATTAAATGAAACCAAGGTATTCCCTTCTCCTCACACCATGTCCTAGACAAAACACTGGCAAACTCCTACACTGTACAGTACCCAACAGAGTGAAGAGCCACCTTTGTCTTTCTCAGGATGAGCCATTTACACAAACCCTGGCACTTTACATTCAAGTTGTTAGGCTTTGTCTTCGCTGCCAAAAGGAAATGTTAATGAAGACCCATTAACCATCCCACCTTTAAATCCTAGTGGACACAAGGCACTGGAGTTTTTACCACAAGGAAGCTAAGCTACAGCCTTGCCTGTGGCTGACCTCACATATGGATTATGTGTGTGACCCACAATTAGGATTTAAAGATGTTACATTGTTATCTGGGTCCATCTAATTAAAGCCTTCAAAGCTAAAGACAAAGCACGTTGTACTGTAACACTTGCCCTGCTGAGACTTAAATGGAAGCAGCTTGCACTTGCCAATTTCCATTGTCTTGACTAGAGTTTCATGGTTTGAATTAGATGAAGTCAAAGAACATGATCTATCACACTTTTAAACCCTAACCTCGACAGAGCCTGGGTAAATTATCTCCCCATCACAGGACTGCATGCCACCTGCCCAACTAATCTCAGAAAAGGGGATTGAGGGTTTAATTCTTAATAACTTTTCCACATTCACTAATCTATAAACTCTCTTGTTCCCCTATAATTATCAATTTCCTTCCCTACAAAGTTGTAGATGCTTGCATGGTGTTTTCGATGGGGCTGAAAATCTAAAGAGCGCAGGCAACTTAAGAATCGAAGTTCTGAACTCAATAGGCCCAACCCACCATGCACCGGTGCAAGAGACTGTGCAGTGGGTGTAAAGTGCTCCCATTCTGATAGGAGCCATTAAGCAGCCCCATTGTGGCTCAGGAGCATCAGCCACGTATTCCCCCAGTGCCTGTGCAATAGAGCCTGGCAATCCCTCCTCCGTGGGGAAGAGACACTAGTCAAAGACATGAGCATTTCCTGAACGCTCTTTCTGTCTCTTTCCTGTGCAGCAGCCACCACATCGCCTGCAGGCCAGGGCGGGAACAGCTGGCCATACCTGGTGGGCTTCCTTGCATCAGCTGTTGGCATCTCTCTCCTGATTGCACTGGCTGCAAAGTGCAAACTGTTCCACAAGCACTTTGCCAGCTCCCGCCACCAGCCCCTGCCTGACACCAGCTCTGTGGGGGGAAGCCGTGCTGCGGAGGGATCTCCCTGGGGGGAGAACCAATCCACGCCACGTGCTGCTGAGCTGCAGCTGGAGGAGGAGGATGGCTTCATTGAAGATAACTACATCCAGCCAAGTGAACAGCTGCAGGATGAAGATGAATTGGAGCCATCTTTTCCCCTCAGAGCCTGAGACTTCACCCAGGCTCCCCTCCCAGCTATCCCTTTTCCCCTGCTGGGGTCAGGGCTTGCAGGGCCTGGCCTGTCACTCCAGCCTCAGCAGTCAGCACCTCCAACTCCACTCCCAGCCCTCCTTCCCCACTAGTCTTGCATTAGCTTCCACTGCTTAAGGTGGGGGAGGGGGAACATGAAAAACAAGAAGCTGAGAAGTGACAGGCAAGAAGGGTGTGATGAGGAAGGGTCAGCATGGGAGAAAGAATAATGGGAGCAGAGCTTACGAGAATGCTATTAGGGCCCAATTTTATCCCTGGTGGGATTGCACCAACTTTAGTGTGTTACATCAAGAAAGGGGCTAGCCATGGCGCGTGGGGGTCTCCCTATGGCACTGAAAACACACTGCTCATTCTTTGCTTCAGTATTTGAAATGCCCTCAAGGAATCTGAAAGCTACCTGGTGAAAGCAGCCCCATTCCTCCTAGCCTGATGCCACCCTCAGCAACAGCCTTACTCAGCCCAGCCTGAGCTGGAGTTCCAGAAGATAAGCACTGAGAGGGACAGAACCCTGCAAATCCGCTTTATACCCGCGGATATCTGCATCCAGCGTGTCAGCGCAGATATCCTCTTTATGCCCGCGGGTATCTGCATCCAGCGTGTCAGCGCAGATATCCTCTTTATGCCCGCGGGTATCTGCATCCAGCGTGTCAGCGCAGATATCCTCTTTATGCCCGCGGGTATCTGCATCCAGCGTGTCAGCGCAGATATCCTCTTTATGCCCGCGGGTATCTGCATCCAGCGTGTCAGCGCAGATATCCTCTTTATGCCCGCGGGTATCTGCATCCAGCGTGTCAGCGCAGATATCCTCTTTATGCCCGCGGGTATCTGCATCCAGCGTGTCAGCGCAGATATCCTCTTTATGCCCGCGGGTATCTGCATCCAGCGTGTCAGCGCAGATATCCTCTTTATGCCCGCGGGTATCTGCATCCAGCGTGTCAGCGCAGATATCCTCTTTATGCCCGCGGGTATCTGCATCCAGCGTGTCAGCGCAGATATCCTCTTTATGCCCGCGGGTATCTGCATCCAGCGTGTCAGCGCAGATATCCTCTTTATGCCCGCGGGTATCTGCATCCAGCGTGTCAGCGCAGATATCCACTTTATCCCCGCGGATATCTGCATCCACTGTGTCAGCGCAGATATCCCCTTTATACCTGCGGATATCTGCATCCACGCATGTCAGTGCGGATATCCACTTTATACCTGCGGATATCTGCATCCAGCGTGTCAGCGCAGATATCCACTTTATACCCGCGGATATCTGCATCCAGCGTGTCAGCGCAGATATCCACTTTATACCCGCGGATATCTGCATCCAGCGTGTCAGCGCAGATATCCACTTTATACCCGCGGATATCTGCATCCAGCGTGTCAGCGCAGATATCCACTTTATACCCGCGGATATCTGCATCCAGCGTGTCAGCGCAGATATCCACTTTATACCCGCGGATATCTGCATCCAGCGTGTCAGCGCAGATATCCACTTTATACCCGCGGATATCTGCATCCAGCGTGTCAGCGCAGATATCCACTTTATACCCGCGGATATCTGCATCCAGCGTGTCAGCGCAGATATCCACTTTATACCCGCGGATATCTGCATCCAGCGTGTCAGCGCAGATATCCACTTTATACCCGCGGATATCTGCATCCAGCGTGTCAGCGCAGATATCCACTTTATACCCGCGGATATCTGCATCCAGCGTGTCAGCGCAGATATCCACTTTATACCCGCGGATATCTGCATCCAGCGTGTCAGCGCAGATATCCACTTTATACCCGCGGATATCTGCATCCAGCGTGTCAGCGCAGATATCCACTTTATACCCGCGGATATCTGCATCCAGCGTGTCAGCGCAGATATCCACTTTATACCCGCGGATATCTGCATCCAGCGTGTCAGCGCAGATATCCACTTTATACCCGCGGATATCTGCATCCAGCGTGTCAGCGCAGATATCCACTTTATACCCGCGGATATCTGCATCCAGCGTGTCAGCGCAGATATCCACTTTATACCCGCGGATATCTGCATCCAGCGTGTCAGCGCAGATATCCACTTTATACCCGCGGATATCTGCATCCAGCGTGTCAGCGCAGATATCCACTTTATACCCGCGGATATCTGCATCCAGCGTGTCAGCGCAGATATCCACTTTATACCCGCGGATATCTGCATCCAGCGTGTCAGCGCAGATATCCACTTTATACCCGCGGATATCTGCATCCAGCGTGTCAGCGCAGATATCCACTTTATACCCGCGGATATCTGCATCCAGCGTGTCAGCGCAGATATCCACTTTATACCCGCGGATATCTGCATCCAGCGTGTCAGCGCAGATATCCACTTTATACCCGTGGGTATCTGCATACACATGTCAGCGCGGATATATACCCGCGGCTATCCACTTTCTACTCATGGGTATCCACATCCACGTGTGTCAGCAAGGATATCTGCAGCTCCTTGTTTGGGGAGGCATATATCTGTTTTGTATCCATGCAGAGCTCTAAAGAAGGACATGGACCAGCACAAACACTCCTGAGTTTGACAGCCTGGCAACATTGCATAGAGAAGACAAAGACTTGAACATTCCCTATAAGATCCTTTGCAGCCTCTAGCAATTCTGCCCTGGAGGGGGAGGTACCAGCCATTAACACAACAAAGCCACTAACTTGTGTATCAAGCCTGCTTTCCAACCCTAGCCCATATGAATAGTGATAGAGATGTAGCCGTGTTAGTCTGGTCTAGCTGAAACCAAAGACAGGACTATGCAGCACTTTAAAGACTAACAAGATGGTTTAGTAGGTGATGAGCTTTCCTGGGCCAGACCCACTTCCTCAGATCAAATTGACAATTTGATCTGAGGAAGTGGGTCTGGCCCAGGAAAGCTCATCACCTAATAAACCATCTTGTTAGTCTTTAAAGTGCTGCATAGTCCTGTCTTTGGTTTCAGCTCATATGAGAGCTTGGAAGCCACAGGAGGGGAAAGGTCAGGGAGAGGTGTAAGAGGAGCATCTGGGAGCTGCGTGGCGGTGGTGCCAGCTGGGCTCTGTTGTTTATCCTGGATGTACATGGCTGTACACTCTGTCTCCCAGGCCACTTTCATGGTTCCCTCCACTTCAGAGCTGGAACTTGTCTGGGTTTATTCTTTTTGATGACTGGCTGCCCTCCTGCCTACAAGGCTGTGCAGCCCATCATTATTTGAAAGTGTCCCAGCTTTACTGGCTGCATCTGCGGGGCTGCGTCATCCTAGGGTGGACTACAGACATCTGTGGGATGAAATTCAGCATCAGGCAGCAAAGAAGACACACGGGTCTCATGGAAACTGCACAAGCAAAATAAAATGCACATTTTTAAACTCTGTATGAAGACAAGCAGCTTCCTCTCTTCAGAGCCATGCTTTGGGGGGTGAAGGGCCCAGGACACCCCCCACTCTGCCCCAGGATCTCCCCCTACCCGACCCCCACTCCAACCCTTGCCCAAGCTCCCGCCCTGCCTTTCCCCATCCCTTCTCCGTCTCCATTCCACATCTTCCGCCAAGTTCTCTTCCTCCAGCGACGCGGCCTGGGAAACTAAGCAACAGCCAGAGCCAGGCCCTCCCCCACACCAGCAGTGGGGGGAAGCGGAGTGACCTGGCCCAGCCCACTCTACTCCCCTAGTGCCCAGCTACCTTGACCTGCTTCCTGCCACCACCAGTGTGTGTGGGGGTGGTTCAAGCTCTTCCCCCAAGTCCTGCAAGTGGGCGGGGGCAAGGTCACTACTTCCTGCTGCCAACAATCAGTGTAGGTCCCAGCCTGAGCCCTGCTTTCATCACCAGGTCTTCCACTGGTGCCCCAGGCTGACCCGGGCACTGTGGGACCCCCAAAAGCACGGGGCCCAGGGTGGAGTCTCCGAACTGTCCAGTGGAAGGCACAACTCCCTTTATTGTGTGCAACCCTCTCTCCTTTCCTGCCGGTGTTGCACTGTCCCCCATGCAGCACAGCTGATAAGCTCCTTATGTCTTTGTTTGCTTTCTAGAGTGATCTATGCAGAGATTAAATAACCAAATACAGTCATGGGACAGAATGGAAGTCCCAGAATTAGAACTGGGCCAAAACTGGGGTTAATATTTCATTCCTTAGAACAAAAGGCTCTGAGATCTTTAATCCTTTGGGAGAAAAAATCCACTGATCCCAGAAACGCAGCCCAATTTCAGGTTAGGGACACCATTAGGGATTTCTTTGACTATACCCTACTAGAATCCCCTCTTCCCACAGACCTGTGATCCTGACCTCATCTCTGACTTGCCATCTCCCCTCAGCATGATACAGGCAGAGAGGGGGTTGCAGAGCTGGGATTCAAAGTGAATCTGTGTTTCTGCTCTTAAAATTGCCTTCCCCATCTGGTCAGTTCCAATATAATGAGCATTGATGCCAACTATCTGATTTTATCATGACTCACGATATTCAGTTTTCCTTAAAATCTCAGCTCCTAGAACTGTGAATTGTGATTGATGGGAGATGTGCTGTGTTAATGCTGATAGCATGAATGGGCTCAGAGTCAAAGGTGTTAACCTGACCCATCACTGTACATCCTGGTTTGGTGCTTGAGTACAGAGAAATGGGCCTGCTTAGGCCTTGTCTATGTTAGAAAAGTGTTTTTTATGCTGGTATAGCGTAAAACAAAAAAAGGCTACAGCCTTAACTGACATAGCTTTGTAACTATACATTTTAAGTGTAGACCAGGCCTTAATCCCATGGCAAACATACTAGAAAAATCCTTGCAAAATTTGGAGTTTTACTGATTAAAACATACAGAAAAATATCCAAATGAAAATAGAGCCTTTTGAAACAAACTGAAAAACAATCCTAATCAAAACGTATCAAAGTCCCATTTTCAGAAAGAGCCTATTGATTAGAGTTCTTTATTTGTTAAACAGTTCTCCATAGACCAGGTCAAACTAGGAACTTTTCCTTGGACGATCTAAATGTACTTAATCCGAAAGAGACCAGATGACCTCTTGAGGTCCCTTTTAGCCCCACATTTGATGGTCAGGGGTTTGACTGTGACCAACATACCTGTGATGGCAAATACCTCAAGTGTAGATGCAGTTATACTGGCAAAACTGCATTTTTGCAAATATAAGCCATCAATCAGGGCATCTCCACGCCCTGAGGGATGCAGCTGATGTTTGTACTGTAGATACAACCATAGTGAGGGACTGTTGGTGGATGTTTTTAACTCTGGTCTGCTCTACCCTGCAAAATGTTGCCCACAAGGCTACCTCGGTTTTAAGTGTGAAAAATCCCAGCAATGCTGGCAGAAACTCCTGAATAGCTGTAACTGTGCCCCCAGAAGAGTGCTTCTGTCAGCACAGCTAATGTTCAGCTACTGTATTATCAAAGGCTTGAGAGAGGTAGCCGAGTTAGTCTGTACAGGATAAAGTTAAAAAACAACAAATGGTCTGGGAGCACTTTAAGGACTAACAACATGTAGATGGTATCCTGAGCTTGAAAGCTCATGATACCATCAACATGTTGTATTATCAAAGCCAGTAGAGACAGAGGTTGGAGGCCTAAAGAGGAAATAAATGTGCACTAGCAAAACTGAAAGAACCTTACCACTTACTGGGAGTAGACTTTCTAAGGAAACATTGAT